AGATCAGGTCTCCATAGTTACAGTTACTAGAGAGTGTGAAAAATTAGAGTTTACTCTTGCAAAAGGATTCCTCTTTACAATTTATTTTTACATTTATGAATGGATCTAAAACGAATCAGAAAACGCGACCCAATCTAAGTTAAGATATTCAGCATTCTGAATAGAATGCTCTACTCGGCGTTCTAACCATAAGGACATGTTGTAAATAAGTTGAAATGAGCTCACTAACCGCAAGTTCGAATTAATTAAGTTTGTAAAAATAGTTCCCCCTAAAAAATAATGGTTTTGATTAAAGTTATTGCTATGTCATTCATTCTGCTAATTTGGTCGATGTTTTAAATTCGTATTAGAAAAGAAGACATATATATCCGTGAATATTCGATAGAAAAAAAATAGTAATTTAGTGATGGATAAATTTAACCTAGAGGCAAATTATCCTTTGCGATACAACTTTATTAAATATATAGTAATCTTCTCCTGTTCCATGCGATTTTAAACATCATCCAGAAATATTCTGGTGCGGAAACACCTCTGCTCTGCTACTTTTAATGCCTTATCCTTGGACATTTTCCCAATTCCTTCAGCTGCCTGCTGCTTCTCTCCGTCCATTTCCCACATCGTAGGGACAGGAAAGTGACCCGCAGGCTTCAGATAGAGATTTCACTGTGTCTATAGATGAGCAAGTCCCAACACATATCCAAAAAAGAAAATAAGTTATTTTTAGAAAATGCTGCATGGTACGTCTCCTGCTTAGAGATGGACAAGGTGCTGAAGGAATCGTCTCAAAGATTAGACATCTCGGTTTTAGTCCCAATTATCACCTTGATTTGCTGAGAATCTTAGACAAATCCACTTATCTGTTTTTTATATTCTTAACCTTTAAAATGAGGGCCTTAGTTTAGAATCCACAAACATATTAAAACTGGAAGGAAAGTTTAAAGTTATCTGTTTGAGCAAACATTTCGCATGTGCGTGCATGAGATGTTATATTTTTATTCTTATGAAGGGATTATCTAATGACTCGTACTGAAAAATTGCTTACTATTATTAAAAGAGGTTATCTGGGTAAACATTTTAAACAATAGTTTAAGTGGAAAAGGTCAAATGATTTATGTTTGCAAAAAAAAAAAAATGTATTCAAAAAGAAAATAGAAAAAAATGTCAGGAATAAGCCAAATGCCAAAATATGAACATCGGCAGCCTCTGGGTGAGCGGAAATCTGCACTTTCCTAGGTTTTTACACTGTTGGGTGATTTTTAAAAATCGAGGAGCCAGTATGACTTTTGTAATATTAAAATGTATACTCTCAGGAAATAATGTATATATTCCGAAATTTTACCTTTATCCCCCCAGAACAGCTCGCCTCGTGAATTTCCAAACTAGGAGCGTGTAAGAGTAGGTAAAAATCGTGTTAGTTGCTTAATCCATTTTTCAAAGATTTTCCAAGATGGTGTAATTAAAAGTGAATAAATATTAAGGAAACGAAAAGGCAAACTACAGACGGAGAGAAAACATTTACAAAATATATCTGATAAGGGACTGTTATCCGAAACACACGACAGTGAGGAAACACGCGACCCGATTTAAAAACGCACCGAGGACCTGAGCAAACGCCTCCCAGAGCTGTGGAGACGGCGAACGACGCACCAAAGGCGCCGACATCATGTGTCGTCGGGGAAACGCAGGTGAAAACGAGGAGACGCCGCCACGCACCCGGCGAGCGACCGCAGCTGGAACAGCGG